TTTATTAGATTTATTATTAATTATTTAAGCTTTTTTAAAAATTAAAAATATAGTTTTCTTGTTAATGCTCTAACTAGGGCTAACCTAAACCTAACTTAGACTTATTATTATACTATATAGTATAGTTTTTTTATTAATACTCTAGCTAGCCTAATAGGTACCTTTAATTTACACGATATAAAATACGCTTTATATAACCTTAAGGTTATATTTAATATAGTATAATATAGTATAGTTTATGATATTATATTACATTTTTAAAAATTAGTGTAATATATAGTATTAATAAATTTATTAGGCTTATTATTCTTTAAGAATACCTTTAATAAACCTAATATTTTCTTAAAGCTAGTTTATAATTATTATTATTTAAGAGAGCTTAACTTTAAGCGCTTTAAAGTTAAAGTAAGTAAATCTTTTTTTAAGTTTACTTTTAAATAATTAAGGTTTAATAATAACTTCTTATAAACCTTTTTAGCCTTTTATAAGGTACTAATAAAGTCAGACCTCTAAATGTATTGTATTTTTTGTATTTTTTACTATACTGTATTGTATTGTATTGTAATGTAATATATTACAATACATTACAAGATTAGAATACCTATAAATGTATTATAAGGCTATAAAATATCTAATAATATAGATAAATGCTTATATAAGCATATTATATATTAAAATAAAGCTAAAAATCACGTGATTTTGAATCTTTAAAAATTAACCTTAAAATGTGGATATTAAGCGAGATATTAAGCTTTAAAGTTATGTCTTGAAATAAAAAGTAAGTAAAGCGGGGCGAATTTTCAATTGCTTATAACTTCTTAATGTAGTAACTTATAATAGTAAAAAGTAAGGCATTTTTAAGAGCTGATTTAGCTCTTTTAAATGATATAAAATTTTTCCTTATAACCCTTATAATTAGCCTTATAATTTTAAGTTAAAAAAACAAGGGTCTTTTTTCCTTAAAATACATTTATAGGTATTTTACTAATGTAATGTAATGTATTTAAATACAATACACGAAAATACAATACAATACAAAATACAATACACAATACACTTGTATTTACTATATTCGTAAGAGCTCTGATAGTAAGATAGGGATAACTTTAAATAAAAGTAAGGGGGTTTTTCTTCTTATAGAAAGGGTTTTTTTATAGGAACTACATGTAGAAGTATTAGAATAGCTTATAATAGCTTTAGGGTACCTAATAATAATAATAATATAGTTTTTCTTTACATAAAAATAGTGGTTTTACCTAGGCGTTTATCTTATAATATATAATATTATAAGAGGCCTTTTAAAGGCACTAAGCTCTCTTAATTATAACCCTAAATATTAAGACTAACCTAACCTTTTTAGCTACCTATTATAGACCTAGCTACGTAGCGCCTTTTTAAATAACCTTTTACTACCCGTTATAGTATAATACTACGTAGCGACCCTTATTTAAGCTACCCGTTATAGACTAATACTATTTCTAGCTGTATAGGCTCTAAAGCATTAACTATAGTATAGTTATAGTTTTATAGTTTTTATAGTTTCTAATATCATAAATAATATTAAATCTAATAAAATACTTATAGAATTATAAGTTTTACGA